ACATATTTGAGAAGAATCATGATGATATGGACTTTGAATTCAATTTGTGGATATTTTATTTATTGATTTTTTTATTATCAATTCAATATAAAAAATATAAATTTAAAAGACAAAAAAACCAATAATAATGTAAAAAATATATAATAAACCTACCCGTACAACGCAATTTGAAAATAAATATAAGTTACAAAAATTGCAGAAGGTCGGTATAAATTTTAAGATTAAATAATTGATCTTAATAATATTCAGGTGATCTTAAATATTATACACGATTCATTACAAAATACTGACATCGAATATAAAAAACATGTCTACAAAAATAATATCAATTATACAAGGTAATGATCCTAAAAATATAATTAGACCATATAATATTCAGATGATCTTCTCAAGTTAGATGAATAATTTAAGAATATCTACCTATAATTGATATTAATAATTATGTAAGTATAATTATTAATTTTATCTTAACACAACTTTATATATATATTTGTATAATTTAACCATTATTATGTTTTAATTTAATTAATTTATTTTGTTAAAATAAATTTGTTTATAATCAATCTATTTCAAAAACAAAAACATTAAATAAACATATCCCCGTAATATGCGGACCATGTTTAGTTTGAAATATAGTTAGATCTACTATTGTTTTAGGTGATAATTCTTTATAATGTTTCTTCTCTTTTTCTTAATTGATCGGAGCTATCCAAATTTTATGATTCAAATAGACTATTCTAGTATTCTTGCTTTGGATCCTCCACTGGCAAAGTGGATTATCTGTTCTCGTTTCCCCAAATCGGACTTTATCAAAGTTGGTAGTTTAAAATGAAATCCATTATTGTACGTAAAGCTGACACTTTATCCACATCGTTACTCAACTCAAAAACCTTTTGTCTCTGAAGAAACAAATCACGACTATCCCAATTCTGCGTTGTCATTTTTCGATTGGCAGAACAACGTTCAGTGGACAGTGGTATCTAAAAGGTTTGAAAAAGGCAAATGGATATTTTCTCGAGATTTCATATTTTCATGTACAGTCACAAATTTTTAAATCCTAAATTCGGTTAGGAGCTTAACACGTGTCCCCAATTGACTTTGCCAAAATCAATAATAAACGAAAAGTCTTATATGGTAGTGGCAACGATGGAGGATGACTGAACGAACACCGATGTTATTAACAGTGGAGAACGACTCAGAATAATCAATTCATCTTTCTGTCTCGCTCTATCTTTGTCTCTCTCTTTCTCTCCCAACCTCTCAAAACAACAATCCAGTGAGTTTGTCTTACGTTATAGTGTTTAATTTCTAACACCTTGTTCTTAGTTGATTTTCAACTTTAATTAGAGTACTTTATATGTTAATTTATGGTTGATGTCATACTATTGATAAAAGGCTTTGATGATGAAAACTTTTTCGTTAATTGTTCGGTGCCATCATCTCTTTTGACGAGAATAAAATTATAATTTTATAATTTATGTGAATATTATTTGGGTAAACAACTTTTTCTCACCCAAGGTTTGCCTTAATGACTTTTTCTACTTAAAAAGTTTTAAAATACCATATTTTCACCTAAAGTTAATATTTCGTTACTACTTAAAGTCAATTTTGATAATGAAACTGATTTATCTCTACAAAACCTATCTTACTCCAACACCTGATTTCTCGTTAATTGATGGCCACCGCAAAGCTAAGGTTTCATGTTCTTAGTTAATTTTCAACTTATTTTGACGACGAATATTCAATCGATCACCACTATTCATTTCACCAGCCTTTACTCTACAAAACCTTTTTTAATCTAGCTTCTGGTAACTCATCAAATGTCAATTGAGAAAGTTAAATGTATTTTGACTATTAATGAAATATAAATTTTGGGTGAGAAAGTGATATTTTGAAAGTTCTTTTATGGAAAAAAGTCTGTTCACTCATATTATTTTATCAATTAAAACTTAATTTTAGAAAATATGAAAGAGTGCTAACAAATCTATTAACTACCAATGCCATTGCTAAATAAAAATTGCATCATTTTAATCATGTATAAAAAAGAGAAGAATTTATTTCATATTTTTATTGTTTCAAATTAAGAATAGGTTGTAGCGAATATTTATTTATTCATGGAAGAAGGTTAACCTTTTTATTTATACATTTAAAAAATTGCATGTTCATGAGAAAATTAATTTTGTAATTATTCTTATTAGATTATAATAGATAATTGAGTAAAGTAATTAATTAGAAAATTTTCCATAAAAAGAAAGTGTTGGGTTAGATAAAAATATTTGTCCTGATATGTTAAAGAAAATTCCTAGTCACTTAAGAACTTATAAATATTCTATAATTTATAGAGAACAATAATACGAGGAAAAAAAAAAAAAAAAAAGAGTAGTAAAGCAAGCCTGATCTTATATTCATTTTTTAATCAATAAAATTTTAAGTTATCGTTTCCATTTTTTTATTAATAAAATTAGTCATAAAATTAAATTTTTTTTCAAATTATAATCTATTCAATTAAATATTTCTTCAGCTAAAATTACTAAAAACAAATATATATCTCTCATTTTAATCTTCCCATACAATCTGCCTCCGCAAGTATCTCGCAATTTGATATTCAAGTTGACGGCATGCATATAGAAAACAAATTATTTTAATTACCTTGAAGATTTTTATTAAAATATTTGTATAGTAAAGAAAAGGTATGATTTGATTATCCTCAGATGTTTTTTTTATTGTATTCCGGAATCCGTATATGATTGTACAAAATCTTTCATAATCCACCATAATAAAAAAATAAATTTAATTATATGTTAATAACAAGTAACAATTTAGCTAATAAACCACTTATGATGGTGGTCTAACACTTAATTAAGATTTTTTAGTGTATTACTTGAGGGGTTATGAGTTTGATTCACCTGAATTACTAATAGAGGTGATTATTGAGAGAATTTATCTTATTGTCAACTTCAGTATCCTGGATATTAGTTTATATGTACACAAACTGACCCAACACTTTTGCTTACAAAAAAAAAAAAAAAAAAAAAAAAAAGAAATTAGCATAATAACATGATATAATTATTTTTAGATGATTGAATAATTGGATGGGAGCTCTTGAATATATATTACTTGTTATGAGTTTGACCTCCTTGATACTATGATATAGGTTGCATTTGCAGGCTGTCTTAGTTGATTGGGTCTTTCAAAACAATAAGTGCCGCTCCGCGTGAAACCAACCAATCACACTGTCTTTTTCTTATTTTTATATTTATTTTGAAACATGTGAACAAATCAACAAGGACGTTACATTAAAAAAATAAAAAATAAACATGAGAAAAACGATATATTCATTTTATTTAACGGTTAGTAATGTATCAGTATCACTGTATCAGTAAACCTCTTTACACTTTTTTATTAGTTAGATTTGGCACTATGATTTAGAAGTTTTTATAAAAAAATAACGTAATTTTTAATAAAAGTAAGCTCTTTACATATTAATAAAATTATGTATAATAGATGTTTGTTACATAAAAAGCATGGTCTTGAAAATTTTAGTAAACTTATAGAAGATCGCATAATCCAAATTGGTGAGTATAAAATTTAAAAATTATCATTTCAAGTTATAACTAAGCAAAAATGTTCTTTATGTGTTAAGAGATTAGTGTTAGAGAAAAATGTTTTTCTTTATGTGTTAAGAGATTAGTGTTAGAGAAAAATGTTTTTTAAGTTGAGGGAAGGTTTGATGATAGAGAAGTAAGAAGAGAGAAAAAATGTTATTGTTGTTTTTATAATTAAGGACTTTTGTGTCTCCAAAATTATGTTAAGAGTCATACAGCGTAAAGATTTTTTTGCTTTTTGCTTTTTTTTTTTTTTTTTTTTTTTTTTGGGGTGATTAAGAATATTCGAATCAGTTTACGCGCACATTAATTAATCTTTCAAGATCTTAAAACTATCGACCAAATAAGAGCTCAAATAGCCACCCATATTAATAACTAAGGAGAGACTCGATCTCAACATCTCTTGAATAATACACTCCTATCGAGCCATTCAGCCACCCAGAGATTGGTTAGCGACTTAGCGCAAAGATTTCTAAGATGAGATATTTTTCATCACAAGCCATTTATAATAATAATTTACTTACAATTAAGTCATACAATCAGACAAAAATTGTACAAAATTTATGTAAAATGACTACTCTATCATTTGTTTTTTTATTAGTTGCATGACTTAATTATAAGTATAATATTCCTCCGTTTAATATTGAATTTGTCATAAAACATATAAATATATTTAAAAATGGATTAAAATTATTAAAGTATTGAGGTATTACTTTTTTGACTAAGAGAGTATCCAGTGATGATATCAGTTCACGATTCAAAATTAACACATAATTTCATTGGTGATTAATCCAACATCAATACTGTAACTTCAATATTAAAGCTATTGGATATTTTATTCATAAATTAAATTTATTGTTGATTTTATAAGTAGTCCTTATCTAAATTCTAATACGAGATAAAGTAGCAAAATTTTCTAAATAGAACATCATTAAACATAGCATTGATTTTTCTTCTTTCCTTTTTAGTTATCCAAACAGAGGTTGATCTACAGCTAAATTAAAAAAACTCCTCCCCCTTTGGTCGAGAATCTTTATATTCCCTCCTTTTTAAAATTTAAACAAGAATATACTAAAACATAAATGTTTTAAATATATGAATTCACTTTGATTTAAATGATGTCAAACGATGATAATGATGATGATGATGATGATAAATCTAAGGATATTACAATACAAAATTTTAACACAATTTCATCGCAAATATCTTATTTATTAATTTGAAACAATTTAATAGATTTCAAATTGATATGGGTAAAATTACAACACCACCAATCATAATGAGCTGTTAGTCCTATCAANAACACAGTTTAGCATGTATGCATGTGTCAATAGTCCCCTGAACTATCGCATGATAATGCATTTCATGACTCATTATCATTTTCGTGCTTGGAGTTTATTCTTCATATATTAGGATTTGAACAGATTTATACCCAACAATTTTCCTGCTATTACTACTTCCAGCATCACTAGCAGTGTCATCTGTTTCCAGTATATTTTTCCTTGATATGAAGGGCTGAACCTCTTTATTCCGCTCTAGAGACCCCGAGTTTCTAGGCGTAGGAAGAGTAACCTCAACTTCATTATCAAGTTCCTGGATTTGAATTCCCCAATTAGGGTTTAATTCCACCACGCTGGGCTGCGTTGAATATTCCAAAACCCATCATTTCGGCCACGTAAAAGCCTTAGCATTGACTACCATAGGTCGAATAAGAATTACAGAATCCTTTCCCGGGCCATGAACCTCAGTATTTGCACTGGAGTTCATACGTATAGGTTTTACAGAATTTATCAACCGATAAATTAACCTATACTGAATTGCTATTCCATCACTAGAAGCCATCAAGTCTTCTAGCCCTGAAGTATGAATTCGAAGAACCATAATCCGTTTGAGGTTTGGATCCTGGAGACTAACCATATATCTTGGTTTAACAGTCCTATAGGCATCTCCCATAGCTAAGTTAGCGTGAAAACCGCCAACGAGAGCTTTACCAAACGTAAGCCATCGTCTATCCAGTAAGGCGACCTGAACAGGTACATTCATTCCTCCACGGAATAGTCCCTTCATACGAATCTGTACAGCACCAAGTTGTACATAATTATATTTGCCATTTGCCCATTTGGCAAGATTTCGAACCTTCCGTAGCCACTCGTCATTCGAGAGCACCAGTTCTCCCTCTAGAGATTGAGACAAAGCTACACGAACAGGTTTTTCGTGTACATCTTCCAAGCCTTCAGCTTTAAATAGCCACTTAGAGCGTTTCTCAAAAACCTCTTTAGGTGTTAACCTCGGAATTACCCAATTATCAGGGTTACCCGAGTGATCCTCATAATTAGATGATGAACTAATTACCGAGTTAGGGTTTTCATCTTCATTTTTAATTGAAATAAGATCATCCTCATTACCAATACCGCTATTCCTAGGATACTCATTTAGACTTCTAGTCCGCTGCATGAATATACCTATGCGTTGAAGATTTGAAGATTGTTCCTCAAAAGTTATATCTTTTGAGTCATCCTCTGAAGAATCCGAATCATCAGAGTAATCCGAAATTAATTCATAAACCTCATCATCAGAATCAATTTCATATCCCCAAACTGGCTCAAATTCAGAAGTTTGGCTTTCCGCGTTGACTTCCAAAGATCTTACCGCAGCCTTCTTCTTTCCCTTATGAGGGCATTTATCTGCAAAATTATTCGACCTATGGTAGTCAATGCTAAGGCTCTTACGTGGCTGAAACGATGAGTTTTGGAATATTTAACGCAGCCCAACATGGTGAAATTAAACCCTAATCGGGGAATTCAAATCCAGGAACTTGATAATGAAGTTGAGGTTACTCTTCCTACGGCTAGAAACTCGGGGTCTCTAGAGCGGAATAAAGAGGTTCAGCCCTTCATATCAAGGAAAAATATAATGGAAACAGATGACACTGCTAGTGATGCTGGAAGTAGTAATAACAGGAAAATTGTTGGGTATAAATCTGTACAGATCCCAGTATATGAAGAAGAAACTCTAAGCACGAAAATGATGATGAGTCATAAAATGCATTATCATGCGATAGTTCAGGGGACTATTGACACATGCATACGTGCTAAACTGTGTTTTCCAGAATATGAGGAATATACTCTGGATATTCTTGTAGACACAGGAGCAACCAAATATATTGCAAGGAAGCAATGTTTTCCACAGGAACTTTGGAAACCATTGGAAAAACCTATCCTAAATACAGTTGCAGATGGAGGACAAAGTATGATCACGGATGTGGTAGAAAACGTGATTGTACTGTTAAATGAGAAAAAATTCACTCTAAGGGAAGGCCTAGTAGTGGATTACTTAGAGGTAGATTTTATTCTCAGAAATAGCTTTCTGTGGGGTCAAGCAGAAGTTAGGCCATTTGATGCGCGTTTCTTATAACATGCAAAACTAGCAAGTGCACTAGTCGCTCAAGTAATAAAGTGATGGGTAGGATATCGTTCCCACGAGGACTGGTAGCAAAGCACTAAGTTCCTAACGTTAACAAGTTGAAGCAATCGAATTTCTTGGATTGGTGGGAGCAAATTGCAATGGAAAAAGAAAACAAAATTTAAAATTAAACAAATGATAAAATCTTAAATAAGAAAGCAATTGAAAACACAGAATATCAATTCAAGTAAAACGGGTAGGGTTTTGACTTCGTTTGGACTTTTATGGGTTAAACCTAAGAGTTACACTATTTTCACATTCACATGCAATGGTTGTAAATCGGATTCACTAATATGTTAACATACCCTCTCGGGTATGTTTTTCTATCATCCTTATTAACTTCTGCACCCAACAATTGAAGGTTAATAATTCTAAAATCATGAAGCACAAGAATATCTCTAGCATCCAATACTATAATGGTTATACCCAAGAAGTTAACATGAATTATTTCCAATCTCATCATGGTCATCACATACAGCATTAATTTCAGAATAACACAAAAAAAGCTTATTCACATGGAAATAGCACAATCAAATACTTAACCCATCTCAAATCCAAACTACAATCAAAACCCTAACCATAGAAGATTGTTCATAGCTAAATTAACAACACAAAGACGGAAAAAATAGAATAATAAAAAGTTAAACAAATGAATCTGAAATGAAGGATAAGAAATCTTCCCAAAAGATGAAATCTTCTAGTCAAAATCTGAATCTTCCCTTTTACAATCGAAAAAACTCAAGCTTTTTTCTAAGGAAAATGTAAAAGATGGCTAAACCTCAAGCTCAAGCTCTCTAGGCAAAAAAGTTAGTTTTTTTATACCTAGTCCAAAAACCCAGTCAAAAACATGCCCACCCGAAAACTATGCGTTTACAAAACTGAAAACTTTGACTGTCGCCGCAGCGAAGAAGAATTCTTCGCTGCGGCGAAGAATGGAAAATCCAAATCGTCTCCGCCTACTTTGCCGCGGCGAAGACAATTCTTCGCCGGGGCGAAACTCCTTCAAAAGTTCTGAAATTTACAGAACTGCCACTCTGCTTGCCTCTTATTCGATTCTTCGATTTTCGGCTCTCTACCTTGGAAACAAGCTTCATTGTGCGTTGTCCTGCTCCGGAACTCTCCTATCTTCTGAAATCCGCTCAATTCTGAGTCAAAACTATCCAATTTTGTCCTTATTGCGCAAAAAAGTCCATTTTAACCTGAAACGAAAAGTAAAGAATTGAGCACCAATTGGTAAAAATGCACTAGAAGTACATGAAATCGACAAAAAGTTAAATAAAAACTGTATAATTTACGGATTATCACCATTTACTCAGGATAACGACCACTTTCCTAGGAGGTCATAAAATCCCTATTCTGCTAAGCCAGAAGTTCAAAAGTCAGAAACAGTTTTAGACGGTGAAACTACGGCAAGAAGTAGATCACATTGTTTTCAGGTTTTGGAAACAAAGAACTGGGGGTGCAATCTTTGATGCAGAAGAAGGGATGAGGCTTGTAATGTTTCTTTCAAATGTTGTATCCTAGTTATCATACAAACGGATCGCACAAGGCATATCGAGGAGGATGACCCTCGGTGCAGCCTTGAGAGCACGGATAAATTCATACATAGAAAAAATCTTGAAGGTGAAAACGAGAGCCAAAAGAACTCTTTAAGGATTGAGGAACTTGTAAAATCTTAAAGAGGAGCTTTCTCCATGCTTTGTGATCAACCATTAAAGTTATGGGAAAGGAATGGTATATATGCTTCACTTGAATTAAAAGGAAGGGTGATAAAATAGTGACCAAATCATATCCATACTCCTGATGCAGAGGAGGAATTCAGTAAGCAAATACCAGAATTGCGGAAAACAAATTGTACGCTCCAGTAAAAGTCCACACTCTTCGCCAGCATTCATGGTTATGAATAGAACTGAGCAGTTAAGAGGTAAAGCGTGGATGGTTATCGATTATAGGCAGTTAAATGAAAAAAACCATTGACGATGCTTATAAGATACCAAACAAATCAACTTATTTGAATAAAGTAGATTTGGAAAAATCTTCTCTAAATTTGATTTAAAGTCAGGATTCTGGCAAATCGAATAGAGAAGTCAAGCATTCCTTTGACGGCTTCACCTGTCCAAAGGAGTGTTTGAAGGATGGTTCTGCCTTTTGGGCTTAAGCAGGACCATAATATTCCAAGAGAAAAATGGATAAAGTCTTTGGAGATTTATCTAACTTGTGTGTTAGTCTATGATAATGTTCTGGTTTTTAGTAAGACCAAAGAAGAACATGTAAATCATTTAGACTGGTGAGCAAAAGGTTTCTGATATGGAATGATTCTATCTGAAAGAAAGGTAGAATGGTTAAGAACAAGGTGAAGTTCTTAGGCGTTGAGATAGGTGAAAGAGGTATTAACTCTAAGAAATATCTCAAAGAAGTTGCGGAATTTCCAGATGTGCTGGAAGATAGCACATGTTACAGCAATTTCTTGGATTAGCCAATTACATGTGCGAGTATGTTCCTAATTCGCTAATGTAATAATGACTTGACGCTTAAAGTTAGTGATTAAGTGCCCTGGGATTAGACACTTGAAGACACTAATTGTGTTAAGCGGACCAAAAACTGACAAAACAACTTAAAACCTTTAAAACTCCCGGAGATGAGGATAAATTATTATAGAAAGTGATGCATTCACTTGTATTGGGGAGGTGTGCTTAAGGCTAAGGGTAATGATAATATTGAACGGATTGTTCGATATGCGTCAGGAAATTCTCTCCTTCTGAAATAAACTATCCTGTCCATGAGAAGGAAAGTTTAGCAGCAAAAGAATGTATTGACTGATTTTGATTGTCGTAATCAGTCGAGAATTCACTTTAGGACAGACTCTAAATATTTAAAAACTTTTATGAAACTATCTTTAAAGGATGACAAAGCTAGACTAATCAGTGGATTGATGTGTTTGCAAATCATAGAATCAAATTTGAATATATTTCTGGTAAATCTAACTTTGTTGCTGACTTTTTGTCCAGACATTTTGCAGAAGAAATGCAGGTAATGGCGAACAAGAAGGAAACTGGAAATCACTTCTCATGCCAAGTGTAAGCACGGGGAAACTTGAGAAGGAACTGCCCTTTGAAGGTTACTTTACTTCGAAGGTTACTGCTAAAAAGGAGAAAACTGCGGATAAGCAGGTTGCTTCTTCTTCTAAGCAGGTCACTGCTGTAAAGCAGGTGAAGGAAAGAATCGTGACATGATTTGACATTCGGATAGAAGAAACCCGAAATTTCAACGATTGAAAGGTGAAAATTCTAGAAGGAAAATACTTTTGAAAAGGGGTTATTCTAAGAAGGAAACGACCAGAAAAAAGCAATAGTTTGCTGGTCTTGTAAACAAGAAGGACATGAACGGGCTAATTGTCTACTGTCAAAGATAAAAATTTATGAGGATAATCGTCAGGTGCTACAAGCGTGGTGACACACACTCCACAAAAAAGCAATTAATTGACGCAGATATTGTGAGAGGTTTAGCTTTCCAGAAGGCTTAAGATAACTTCAGCTAGTCAAACACTCTGGAGGATCTGGAAACACAAATTAGGATCGCAATGGTGACAAGACAAGGGGAAGTCATTTGCAGAGGTGTTTAGAAAGCTAGCAAGAAGGTTTAGCTTGGCTGGAAGCCGACAAACTGTTTTATGAGGATGAGGAGTTCAAGGGAACTGCTTACTCTACGAAGCAGGAATTCAAAACTTGAGGTAATGAGCCAATGTCATTCGTTGACTGTCAACACTCAAACTCGAGAATTTGAATGAATAATAGTGAAATTGGAAAAAAAAAACGACTTGACAGGATGTGGTTCAAGGTAGCGGTTTATCCTAATGGAGCATGGAATTGTTCGTTCCATGGAAAATCTTTAGAAAAGGTTCTGTAGAGTCTTTTAACTAAGGATGGATCGATACAATGCAAATGACGTACAGGAAGCGATGGTGGATCCGAATATGCCAGATGCGGTTAAGCAAAAGCTCTGTGTATTGAATCGGAAGTTGACACTTCACTTGCATGATTACTTCCTCATTGCAAGAGAGCTATGATGTTCAACCTGTACAGATATGGGAATTTCTTGTAGGAGAACCATGGTACTGAATTATGCTCGCAATGATGTAAAAAAGAGTTCTTTGCACTAGAAGAAATTCAAAAGAAGAAGAGGAAGATTGGACCAGGTTGCATATTGCAAAATTGCTACTGGTTAAATTAAACTGGAGGAGCTTGTGAAAGAAATGCTATTGTCCATATCAGAATGGAATGTGGTAGTTATACTAGAGGTATGCATGATCCGGATACTCTTTTCAACATAATCAGGGCCCAGTTAAGAACGCTACTAGAAGGGTTCGATTTGGCCCATCTACCGAAGCAAGCCTTAATGGAAGGAACTATTGATCTTCTAAGGTTGGTCTTAGCCCACGACCAGGAAGCCCAAGAAGATGCGACTCTAAAAGATTTTATGATCTTATAGAAGTGGATAACTTTAAGGATTGATAAAAATCTAGAGGATGGAGATTTGGACAACTGAAAACGTCCAACACGTAATACGCTGACGTGTATCCAACAGGTGGAGATAATACGTGGACCTTCAAGATTTTGCCGACGAAATTTAACGCAACATATTTTAAGGCAATCTTGAAAATTGTGTCATATGTAATAAGTAACATGTGTAAAATGTAATAAGTTATTTTGTTTTAAACATGGGAGACATGTGGACCCCATGACATTTTCTTTATTTTCTTTTAGTTACATGTTCATGTTTATTTGGCTAAAAGTCAAATCACATGTTTTGTGATTGACATTGTGATGTGTAAATTTTATCTTATCTACGGATTCAAAAATTTTGAAATCCGAACTTCTCTATATAAAGAGAAGCTTTGTACATTTGTAATCAGAGAAAGTTAGTAATATTTTCAGTTTTGAAAACTTCTCTCGATCTCTTGTTTACTTTTAATTGTATACTCGAGACAAGAAAAAAGGATCTATTCAAGACGATCGATATCCAGGTATGAATTAATCTGTTAAACTGAATCTATGAATTTTCTCTCCAATTAATTAACTAAGGTGTTTAATTAATTGTAATAATATTTGTAAGACTGGATATTACAAATATTATGTGGGTGTAAATGGTAATCTTACCGCAGCCTTCTTCTTTCCCTTATTAGGGCATTTATCTGCAAAATGATTTTTGTCACCACAAATCTAGCAACAATTACAATCTTTTGTGTTTTTGCCAGATGGGTAGGTAGCACAAAACGTACACGCTCCGTGTTCCTTAGCGTTAAGTCTACCTTTCCCTGTTCGCCTAATAAACCTTCCATGATCTGGAAGATTCCGTTTATTAGTAACAGGTTGTTTTACCATATTACAAAAACGTTTCGGCCTAAAATTCTTTTTACCGAACGATCCTTTTCGTTTCATATGGTTTTCCCAACCTTGATGTTTAGTCGAACCCCTCGACTCACAGCCATATTGTCCTGGCATGCCATCAAAGTTTTGACAACAAGATTCGTTGAACTCAAGCCTTTTAGCTTCCTTATTCAGCTTGGCGTTCAAACATCTTGTCCTCACGAGTTGTCTAACAGCTTCTATTCTTCCTCCCAAAGAATCAAAAACTTGATTCTTTTCAAGTAGAAGCTTAAACGCCTCGTTTGCTGCCTTATCCCATCCTGGGGGAAGCTTAGCAAAGAAAGTATTCTTCATGACTTCCTGTGTGCCACCAGGCAACTGATAAAAATATCGTCTATACTCACAGACGAAATTTTCAAACAGACACATGTCACAAAGCCTAAGCTTTCTTAAAGCTTCTAAGGCAACTACCTCTGTGAGATTCCTACTAGTAATAGTTATTCCAGTAAATTCTCGACAGAGCATATCCTTGAAGAGTGCAAAGATAGCCTTTCTATTCTTCAAGTCACCTATAGTATCTAACAGACCCGTACCAGCTTCTAGACTTCTCCAAAAGCTTCCTGCAGCTCTCTGCAGTGTGGATCTTAGAAACCTGTAAGTATCACTGAGTCCAAAATTCTTGTTTTGGATATGAACCCAGTTAACAGTTTCCCATGCTTCAATTGCATCTGTTACCTGTGTAACACAATCGATATTTAAGAAACTTCCGCTAGACGGTATCTCCACCATTCTAGGTACTCCCCTAGGCATAAACTCCGACCTTATCCTTGTGGGATAAGTTTGTTTATATTCGGGTTTGGAGATTTCCTTAAGGAATCTTTCGAAAGAATTTAAAGGATTACGAATTCCTTCAAGGGGATCATCTTTAAACTCAGATTCCCTGAGTTTCGAGATTAGCTCATCGAGCTCTGCCTTTTTAGGACCTGGACCTGGAGTAAGTTTCAGTTCTCTAGTTTTGTTTCCTTTCCTTTGTTTCTTCATTTCCTCCTCATAATACCTGCTGATTCGTTCAGCATCAGAGGTAGAAATTTCCAGAATATCAACCTTCCGTTTTCCATCCATTTTAGAAACAAAGTCTTCTTCCTTGACACTTTCATAAAGAGTTTTTCAGCCTTTTCCCAATCACCTTGGGTTTCTTTGGCCACAAACTGTGCATATCCTGGAGGCAATCTGGGATATTTTTCTTGCAAACTAGTCGCGAACTGATCCAAAACATCCTGACCACCCATGGTCAATCTGAATCAGGTCTCAACTCAGTTGCAAAGTCTGACTCTTTATATGGTGTAGGATCTGGATCTGGCTGGGATTCGCCGTACTAGTAAGGAATTACCGCCTCAGCTTTTTCCAACCACTTATTCCAAAGCTCTAGCTCAGAGACTTCAATGGTGGAAATCCGGCAAATAAAACACAAAATCTTTGTGCACCCTTGACTAAAAGCCTTTTGAATAGCATCCAAAAGTCGCTTTACACCTAGCCAAGTCAAATACTCTTCTCGAATATCTGGGTTGCCGTTACAGAGGTCTAACACAACCCATTTAACCTCTTGTTTGGTATATCCTTCACTAGGCCACACTTGTTCGATGTCACTCAACACCAGAGACATCTCCTATTTTACCGGCTTAGTAAAATAGTTAGAACATGTTCCAGTGTTTTGACCTTTTGAAGTACATAATTAACATTTTCAATCTGGTTCCCGATCTGGGTTAATTCTTCGTTTAGAGCAAATATACAATACACCGTATAATTCACTCTCCTGTCTAAGTTTTCAAGCTTCTGGGTCAAAAGCTCTAACTTATCTACGACAGTATTTAACAAACCGATCTCCAGTTTTCCCTCGAGACCATGATCTAAATGAAAACAAGTCTTACTCAAACAGACTTCATCATTTAAATCATTATTCATGCTATAGAACTTTCAACAGGTTAACAGGTATAAACACATATATCCCCCGTCTTCCAAAGCTCTGATACCATTTATACCCACATAATATTTGTAATATCCATATGATCATAATAATAATAATAATAAATCTAAGGATATTACAATACAAAATTTTAACACAATTTCATCGCAAATATCTTATTTATTAATTTGAAACAATTTAATAGATTTCAAATTGCTATGGTTCAAATTACAGTACCACCAATAATAATGAGTTCTCAGTCCCATCAATTAAAGTTTAGCAAGAGCTAAAAGATAAAATAACCATAGTACCAAACCAACCTAAAAACACTTATTACATTGAGCTAGGGTATAAATAGAGGCTTCCCCCTTATAAAATCAAGATCAGACTCTCAAAATTTAACAAAACAAATAAAAAAGACACAACCCATGGGAAAGAGACTGACTTAATATTCTCTCTAAATAATTCAGTTTGCTGTTTGCGACCTCTTGCAAACGTGGCTAATCACAAAGAACACTCATATAAAATAAAGCAGTGTGTATTTGAACCACTATAAAAATTCTCATTGTCTCTTTTATTTTTAAGTCTTTGCATGCTATTCTGATCTTTAACCAAATCCCCATTATTAATCACATGTAACTTTTAAGAAATTTTTAGCATTTTGCACATGCGAGGTCGTTGGTGTCAAAATCACGCATCAACAGTTTGACGCTAGAAGGACTTACACGACACTTACTCACTTGCAGACTTATAATCATTACCTTAAACTTAGTGGTTATAAATAGAGGTCTCCCTTTCATAAAATCGGGATCAAACTCTCAAAATTTAACAAAGTAAATAGTAAAGACAATCCATAAGAAAGAGATTGACTTAATATTCTCTCTGAATACTAAACACTTGTAATTCAGTTCGCTATTCACAACCTCTTGTAAACTTAGTTAATCACCAAGAACACTCATACAAAAGAAAACAATAGATGTAGGAATCGTTTTAAGCATCCAAACTATTATAAAAATTCTCATTGTCTCCTTTATTTTTAAGTATTTGCATGCTACTGTCACCTTTAACCAAATTCCCTAATTATCACGTATAATTTGTAAGACCTTTTTAATGCTTTATTTTGCAGGTGCAAGATCATTAGTATTAAAATCACACATCAACACAAATAATTATTTTTAACATAAACTTATAAAAATTTTAATGACTGAATTATAAGAAATAAAAAATTTAATAATTTAATGTTAAAATTTGTTGTTAGAATCTGAAAAAAAATGATCACGACAAGGGAGTAATGCATTCAATAATTAATAATTAAAGACGCTTCTCATCTCCCGGACGCATCGCGCACTTGTAGTTGTGGATCAACAACTGCCTCCACGTCACCACTCGACTTGACAACCACTTCTATATAGAAAAATCATCCCCGCTTTGCTTGTCCATTCAATCTTGAAGTAAAACCTTCCTCTCTCATACTCAGCTTCCGTCCAATTCCAAACACCACCCAGCACAACTTCATCTACTCAAATCTACCTACTTTTCTGTACACAGAATAAAAATCATTCCTTCAACAGACCACAGGTGACCTCCCAAATACTTTTCTTAAAAGCACTTCTGATAATTTTCATTTGACCATGATTTTTGGGAAATAAATCTCTTCCATTAATGTTTTTCTTTCTTTCTGTTAAGTTGTTTAATTATTTAAACTTGACTTTTAGTTTGTTAACACATTCAAGTATTCAACCGTTCCATTTTTAACAGAATGAATGAACTTCTCACTTTCTCCACCAAAGGCGCCCACATTATGCTGATTTTCTACTCTCTAAATTTTCTCATCTTTCTATTGAATCTTTTGTAATAGGCGTGGTCTCGTCGCTTCCGTACGTAAATAGAGTCTATGGATATCGCTGCGGTTCAAGGAGTGCGAGCTCGGCCGTCGATTGGTGGACCTTGGCCGGCGGACCTTGTGTCTGGACCGGCGTCGAAGAAGTTAGGGTTTGTTAAGGCTACTAGGTTTGATCGTGTTCGTGGTGTTAGAGCGGGGTCATGGTCTTTGAAGCCGGTCAAGGCAACGGAGGAGTCAACGGCGTCGGTGATCAATGAATCCACGGCCACATCTGGTGCTGCTTTCAGTTTTTTTTTCTTTTTAATTTCTTTATTATTTTTTTCTTTTTTGTTTTCAGTGTTGGATGCAATTAAAATGAGGAATATATGTTTATCTTTTAATGTCGTGGATGTTGACTGGCTTCGGTGATGGTTGCGTGACGATTGACGAAATTTAAGACCAGATCATTAATGCAGTTATTTTGTTAAGATTCTTAAGAAGCAAAATAAATACTCGGAATTTCTACTTGAATGATTTTAAACTCTGTGGCTTGTGTTTTCTTAATTATTTGGATTTTAGTGGTAGGAGATTAGGTTGGCACTTGGTGGGGTAGAGGATATTTTGTTGGAATGGTTGTTGACAGTAACTTTTGTAATCCTGTAAGACTGCATCTGGCAAGTCATTTCATTTGACCCTGTAAAAGGAATACTAATAGCCTGCTTTTGGACCATTTATTTGACGGTTATTTAGGCAGCATTGGGCTTGACTGAATAATTGGTAAAGAGTAAATAGGAATGGACTATACATGTAGTCCGGCCCAACTGTTTTGACTTTTGATTCGTTATCCAACTATAATGAATTATTTATTTAAATAATTTTATTTTTGTTTGAATAATTATTAAATATTATATATATTTTTATGTATTATAACGTTTTTTTTTTTCCATATTATTATTCAAAATTATTTTATCGATACTATTTGAATTGTAATTTTATAGCAACTTTTTAAAGTTCGCCGCAGACGGATTAATGTAGTCTCATCAGTCATTTGACAGTCGCAAAGATATAGGCCAACATAGTCTTATAGAACAGTCAACATCATTTTTATTCCTGCAAAGCATTCTTAAGGAATCATGTGCATATGCTTCCCATTCAATCAGTCAATTATAACAACTGTGAAGTACTAGCAACATGGAATTATTTTTTTCGCTTGCTAGATGGGATTCACAGTATCGTGTGCTCTTAGGGCTGTATATTTTGTTATCGTTGTGTCCTATATTTAAGAGAAGCACCCGTGTTGTAGGAAGATATACTTTGTTTTGTCCTTTGAATTATTGTTGAAATAAAGCTAGAAGAGGGCACTTCAGTTAATTCTTGAATTAACTCTTGTGACATTTATGCAACCTCTGCATTTAGAGGAGGAGTATGCTAATATAATTAGGGATTTCAAATTAAAGGTTTATACTTCTAGAACCTGCAAAAATATACATATTAAAGTGGTATGTGTAGAAATGTTTTTGAGCAATTATGTGCCTCAGGATAGCTGTCGGGACTGTTTTGCATTGGATTTTTTGGTTTTATAAGCTGTATCTGGATATTTTGCTGTTAAATTGCTTATTTTTCTTGATAATTGATTGAAAATGTAAATGTAACCAATATCTTTGATGAAATGTGTCTTGTATTTTTAGCTTTTACAATTCACAGACTTGCATAAATGTTAATTACTATTTATATGAAAAAGATATTCTTTGTAAACCATGGTTGTAAATTCTGGTTCAGCAATATGTAATTTTTGCCCTCATGTGCCTATTTAGAGTTCCAACTTTAATTATATCTAACTAGGTAACAGTCTAAAACATATATCTACAGTTGGAAAGTCGACAAACATCTTGTGGCACAAAAGTTCGGTGGATAAAATTGATAGGCAAGAGTTACTTCAGCAGAAGGGCTGTGTCATATGGATTACTGGTCTTAGTGGTTCAGGTTTGTTAGATGTTACTTCCATTATGTTTTATGTGTATGAATTAATTGTTGGCATTTGTACTGGTCCTACTGGACGCTAGAAATAATTCTTTATTTTGGCTCTTTAGCCTCAATAGATACATATGATGCATTGATTATTCTCATGATTACATTTTTATCTCATTCTTTTCAATCTGAAGTTCTATAATAAAGAGGACTTTCTCCAGAAAACTATGTTAAGAAGTTTCTTGATACTCTGAAGAATTTGATTGTGTAAAAATGATTTACCGTTAGTATTGGATTAGTCAATTTTGCATTTATGATGATCCAGATCTTGCTTCTTGATATGAACAATGGGAATTCTTTAAGAAATTTCCTCACTTGACATTAGTTTTATTTCTTTGGTCTTATTATTTTCTTTTGTAAATCAATTTTTATATGTATATTGGTGTTGTGTTGTTTTTCTTTAGCAACTTGGAGAGAGTTGTAACTGAATAACCATGCATATCAGCTTCACTTGCCATGCCTCTGGCAGTGGCAGAATTCATGATCATTCATATGCTAAGTTTTCAACTAACGATGAATATTCATCTGTTATATTTTTTATAAGATGCATTTTTGAGCAAGTATCCTAGAAAAACATTAACTGCAGATTGATCATGCTTACGAAATATTCAGATGCTTGTTAAGGTGTTATTTGTAATTGTTTGCAGCAGATCGTGAAAAAGGAAGTGGATAACTTCTGAAAAATTAAAAGACGATCCTCATGAAAGTCTTAGGGTATTTAATGAGAAATGATTAACTGATCCTATCAAATTCATATGGTTAGATTTCTCACAATGCTGAATAAGAAGTTTTATATGCTTTTCTGTTAGCTTCTTATCGAAAACAGAGAGTTTTAAATTGTATGCCATTATAGTCAAACTCAAATTTTATTCATGCTCAAAGAATTGTTTATGAGTTATATGTTCAATATGCATACAAATCAGCCTCCTCCATTAACTACGGTAATGGATCAGTTCTTTTAGTCATGGAACATAACATTAAGAAAAAGTCACTCTGAATGAAACATAAGATGGATGAATGAAATTTCTTTATTAATGTTATATTGAGTTTGTGTTCTGTTTAGTTAAGAGTATGCAAAGCAAACTAGAGTTTTGTTTTAATTCAGTTCTTCAGTAAAGTGGTTGGCTTCGCAAGTTAGTTGGCCTGAGCTGTATTTATTCAGCCATTTAAGCTTGTCTTCCTTGTACTCAGATCAAGGTTTCTTGGTCAAGCATGGTTCATTCATTTTTACTCTTTTGTGGCATTCATGAAACTAGATTAATATGTTGAATGGCCTAATCGAGTATTTCAGCCCTGTGTCCTATTCTTACGCTGTTATCACCTTTATCATGCAAATTAATGATAAATATACTCCTTGTCATTTTGAGATTATTTCTTTTGTTTTCTTACTCAGTTCTGTGATGTAATCTTTACCGGTAACCAATGAAAGATGGAAGTTAAATATGGAATGGCATCACACTCTTAGTTACCAAGATAAAATCTTCTTCTTCCCATCCCTTTGCTTCAACTTTATTGTTGCAACTTCCTTTGATGTTTATTCATCTTAATTTCATATATTGCTCTCTCTCAAATATCTTGAATGCGGATTTCAGGAAAAAGCACTTTGGCATGTGCTCTGAGTCGTGGCTTGCACTCTAGAGGAAAGCTAACCTACATTCTTGATGGTGACAACTGTCGGCATGGACTGAACCGTGACCTTAGTTTTAAAGCAGAAGATCGTATTGAAAATATACGAAGGATTGGTAATGTTACTGTTCATTTCTTACATTATTGTCCTTATATTTGTTTTCTTTATTCTTTTCTTACAGTATGTTATTTTGTATTGTAATATTTCAGGGGAGGTAGCAAAACTCTTTGCAGATGCTGGTGTTATTTGCATTGCCAGTTTGATCTCTCCTTACAGAAAAGATCGAGATACCTGTCGTGCACTATTACCAGAAGGAGAATTTGTTGAGGTATGTGATACTGTAATCTTAAATTTTATGGCATTGGGTTAATTTATGCTTTGCACTGGCAGGTAGTAAATGGATATTGAGATAAAGAAAAGATGCACCTTTTCTTATTGAACGATTCACAATCTCTTCATTTGATAGGTGTTCTTGGACGTCCCACTCCAACTGTGTGAGTCGAGAGACCCCAAGGGCCTTTACAAGCTTGCACGAGCTGGGAAGATCAAAGGTACCTTCTAATTTGTATATGAATTGAGGAATTATTTACATTGCTCATCTTCTTTTGAGTTGTATTGGTTCTCAACTGTAAAATCAGTGATGATGTAATTGTTTTGCAATTTATAGGTTTTACTGGGATTGATGATCCATATGAACCGCCATTGAACTGTGAGGTTTGTGTTAAGAAAAATCTATGCTAAATTAATTGGTTAGCTGCAATCAATTAACAAGAAAAATTTAATAAAAACAATCACGCACAATAATACTAGAATTGATGTGGTTTGCTCATTTATTTACATCCGTGAGACGTGATTATTAAAATAGACTAATCAAGAACTCTAGTCTAAGATTCATCATTTAAGTTTAAAAACAACACTAGGTTTCAATACTTTTGCACACCTCTCTAAATATAAACACTAAAATCCCTGAGAAGTATTATTCTTAATTTTCTTGTCAATAACTAAATCTGCTCAAAGTTCTCACAAATATTGTTTAGAAGAACTTAGACGGTACAATTTTACATATTTTACAAAAAGCATCCTCGCAAATTACAGTGAAGCCTCCCTTGAAGAGTTTAAACTAATTTTATAAGCATTAGGTATGAACCCAGTAACAAAACAATAATATGAATAACTTTAGAGGGAATCATCCATATTTATAGTGACTTAATATTGCACCATGCTGGCATGTACCTATGAACAGAATGAATCTGCTATGATCTAACAGTCACAATTCATTTAGTCATTTACAACAATTAAGTATTGAAGAAGCTGCAAGAATCTTTTGCGTAAAAGTCGATGAACGATTTTGTTTATCTTGTTTGGAATAGTTTGATCATGTTAGAAGTGTCTGATGTTGGCTACCTTTCATTCATCTAGGCAAAATCTGAAGCACCTTTTCAGCCTAGTGTTATTATAATAAATTACTCCAACTTCTACCAGTCATGCCTTCCTTTTCTCATAGTCAAGTAATTGACATTAAAGCGTTATCAATTTGCAGATAGTACTACGACAGAAGGAAGACAACTGTGCTTCTCCATGTGAAATGGCTGAAACTGTGATAGCTTACTTGGATGAGAAAGGTTACCTTCAAGCCTAATTTGCTGAAAAGATATCAGTGACTGTAAGTTTGTAACATTATTCGATGGAAGCCTAAGATGATAGAAATTGATTCTTTCCTACAGTAACGAAATCGTTCCTGCATTTGTAGCTCAAACATTTATGTCTCCTTAAAGCTGCATAAGTGTATTTTGTAATTCAGCCTCCAATTAATAAGGATGATCCACGAGATAGGTAATAAATTTGTGTCACTTAGCCGTGTGATATCCATTCCAGTATAAGATTTGTCTCACGTCCCAGGTTTGCACTCAATGCTTGTACATAAAGCAGCCTTTGGATTTGTATAGCTGTATCAGAATACTAGTGCTTGTACATTGACACTACGTGGACTCAGCAGGAATTGGCCCAAACGGTCAAATCCTTCCATTTTGGTGTTTCTTGTTCAGGAATAGAAAATTGTTGCTATCAATATTATGTAAAGCCCGATTAATTCAATAATCAAGAGCTTTCATTTCATATTTGTTTAAATGGGGATATGGTGCTTGTGCTTTTGATGATCTTTTCTATTTTTTTTTTTTTTTTTCCATTGTATTTAGCGTTTGTGGGTCAAGTGGCAGCCATGGCTGCCCATGGTATTTTTTTTTTTNGTGTAGAAATTATCCGCGTGTAACCGCCATGAGAGAGCAGTCTCCGCCATGAGAGAGCGGAATGAGAATGAGAAAAAGAATTCGTATAGCCATGAGAATACATGCGGATGAGGGCTATATGCGTGAGAGAGAGTACACTCACATGGCTAAGGGTTCCGAATCCACGCATCAACCAAACCGATCGGCAAAGAATAAGAAAGAATAAGAATAAGAATAAGAGAAGAATAGAAAGAAAAGAAAAGAGAGAAAATGCATTGTCGTGCTTTAGTGTCTCATCCATGCATGGTTATGATATTATGAGAATAGAAAGAAAGAAAAGAATAGTGAGAGCTAGAAGTAGAGAAAGAACAAGAGAGATTGAATTAGAGAAAGTGACAAGAGTACGAAAAGAATTGAAGATTAATACACGGGGATTATAGAGTAGAAGATTTACTTACTGAGCATCTTTGTGCTCACCCCGTTGTTTTCTATGTTTTACAGGACATAGGTGAGGATGTGGTCGAATGGACGTCGGCAAGCGGTGAGACTTGGCTGCACTGTCCACTGTTTTTTAGAGTCTTTTTGTACAAATGATGTTGTACTATGTAAAGAATGTATTTATTAAGTAAAGAAAATTTTTGGGCCCAACTATTTTGATAAATATACTTGTCTTTTTATTAATATATTTTATGAATATGATAGTAGAAAGAAGATGTTACATCGCACTGGTCAACTGGGTTCTCGTGACCGAACGCGCGATGTCTAGTTGTGATCAATCACGGATAGGGTTGTTGTGACAGTGAGAAAGAGGGCTAGTTGCAACATGAAAAGATCGAGAATGATGGGTCACAGGAAGGATGGTCGGAAGGTGACTAGAGTAAGGAAGCAAGTTTTGGAATTGGATTGTTATATTAAAGTTTATGAATCTTTGTGGTTTGGAACTTTGACTGATGCTTAAATGAGCTTGATGTATTTACTTTTTCTAACGATAGGTGGTGGTTACAAAGGTTATGAGACAGGAGGGGATAGTGGCTAGCAACAAGTGATGACCAGTAGACTTGGCAAACGGGCAAGCTAAGTAGCCACGGGTAAATGGTCGATGGTTTTTTTTTTTTTTTGAACGGTTAGGAAAAGGAATTACCCGTATTTGCCCATACGAGTACGGGTCGACCCACAAAATCTGAATTTTGTCTTTTTTTTTTTTTTTTTCTTTATCTTGAAGGGAAGGTCTTCCAACTTCCAAAAAAGCAATTTTCACACAACCGATATACATACCAAAAAGTGTAAGAAGATTTCTCAAAACCAACTTCAAATATACCATTCATTACAATATGATGAAGCCTTCCCAGTTGACATTTAATCACCATCCTGATGATTCCTTCCCTTACAAAGAAGTAATATTTCTTAGGCAAGGACAGCGCAGAAGGGATCGCTGAATTATTTATCCAAATAACATAATCCTGTCCTGAATCTACATACAAGAAAATCTATAAAGAAAAAGAAAAAGAAACTGATGAATGTAATTAAGAAAGGCATACATTAGGATCAAATGAAGGCAACAACCATTTCTCCTCCTTGGCTACTTCGTCTGTGTCGTTGTACGGACATGAAACAGACCACAAGCGCCATAGTCATGGAGATGGTCACAAAGCTCACAACTTGGAAAGTAGAAGAGAATTGTCACTCTTCTAGATTGCGCGAGAGAGAGATGGTTGCACCTGCGTGAGAGAGAGATGGTTGCACATGCGTGAGAGAGAAAGAAATGGCTGTGTAAGGAAGAAATTAGGAGAGAAGAGATTGAGAGTGAGAGCTGCTGGCTGGGTGTGGGCGTGGGTGTTGGTTTAGGATTAGGATTAGGATTAGGAGAAATGGTTAGGCCTTTGACGACATGGATGCTGAGTAGGAGAAAATGAAATTAGGAAATTAGGGTTTTACCTTTTTTTTTTTAATAAAATGCGGGTACCTGTGGGTATCACCTGACCCACCCATAATTTTCACAGGCGGGTCGAGTACGAATAATTCTAGTCTGGGTATATATTATAGACACTCGTACCTCTCGTTTTACCTAGGTACCCGTGGACCCGTGGGTACGGTTCAAAGTTTGCCAGGTTTAGTGACTAGCAACATGTTATGAAACACTACGAATTTTAAGTTTTCATTTTTTATGCATAATGTTAATTGACCACCCTTATTTATGACGGAGTTTTGACCATTCAACTTTTCTTTACAATGAAATTTACTAATGGATCAATAATGTGGGTAGTAAAGTGTTATTTTAAAATTTGTTGCGTGAGAAAGTGTCAGTAGGCCAAACCTTGGGTCAGAACAAGTCGTTTACTCTTTTAATCATAAAGTGGTTGTTTTATAGTTGAATACGATGGCCTAACTTTAGTTCTCATTGGAATATAATAACTTACATTTAACAAATTAATTAAATATTATTTTCTTAATAAAGCATGGCCCATATGAATATTAATTAATTTAGAGTTGATTTTCTTTTTCAAGCTTGTACTTAATATTTAAAAAAAAAAAAGGTAAGATCAAAGTTTATTTATAACAATAATTTAAAGTGCAAGATTGAAAATATAATACAATTTATTTAATATTAAAATAGAAAGCAAAATTGCGTTGCTTTTGGAACCAACTTATTTCTTTTAATTTAATTTGTAACCATCACTTGGTGGCATGATGGTAAAAGACTAAATGAGTCCAACATAGGTTCTTAAGTTCGAGTCTCCTCAGACACTAATAGGGGTAGCCACTGAGGGGATTTACTGGTTCTTTACTTCAGGGCCCCAGGGGATTAGTTGAGGTGCACGCTAGCCTAGACACCTCCCGATCACAAAAAAACTTATTTCAAGTCCTAATCTTTTTCCCGTTTATTGAATGTTATTGAAATCCTTTCAAATCACACATTAGAGATCAGACGAATACCAAAAAATAAGAACGAGTGAAATCCCTACAAATCGGGATAGAATTTTACTTATAATTCTTTTAGTACAATTTTCTTTTACCTACTTAAGGGATCTACCTACTTTTAATACATTATTTTCTTAAAGAAATTATTTAAAATACAAAAATATGTTATAATATATGTGCGTGTCACACATTTGAAATGACTTTATAATAGAAGTCCTAATTCACGATTATGATTTAAAATAAGTATAAATAAGAGGGTTTCTTTTATAGGACAGGAAAGCCCCGTGTGTTTGACCTTTTTATAGTAAGCATTTACTGGTTTCGGAAACGTGACCCTAATCTTCGTGTGTTTGTCATTTTTTCTTATGAGCATTCGTTGGTTTAAAAAATGTCACCCAAACCCTTGTGTGTTTGACCCTTTTTTTTTTTGTTGTGAGAATTTGTTGGTTTTAGAAATGCGACCTATCCCCTTGTGTGTTTAGCCTTTTTTTACAATGACCACCCGCTAGTTTAGAAAATGTCATTAATTCAACATTCAAATTTTACCAAAATTTCATCTATTTAACCTCCAAAAAATATATTAACATCTAAACATTGTTCACATATTTTAGATGTTACATTGACTGAATTTGGATGAAAAGTTAAAATGTAGTACTTCTTTCACAACATCATTTTGAAGTGTATATATACACAAAAATTTTTAGTTATAGGTCAAGTACTAATCACATTTTTTTAAAATGTAGATGACAATTTACCTATCATAATAAATTTTAAAACATAAAATTTCAAAATTTTCAATGAAATTTTTGTCTTTTAATATAAATTTGTGATAATAAACTATTAACTACCAAGTGGAGGATCATATCATAGTCATATATATAATTATATTAACTACCAAGTGGAGAATCGTATCATAATCACATACATATATATATATATATATATATATATATATATATAAAAGATAATAGATTATCCAATCTTTGAATCCCTTTTTTTTATTCACATTCATATTCAGTTCCTTCATTTTTAATTTTAACAAATGATAGAAAATATATAATTGAAGTAGTCAATCAACGTTAAGTCAAAGCCCCCCTTAATTTCATTTTTTTAATGATCTTTTTAACTCCTAGATTGTACTAAAATAATTATGTATGTATTATATTATGAATCTTCAAAAGGAGATTATGGTAGACTACCTTTTACTGTTTCAACTTTCAAGTTGATGAAATGTTTTGTACTTTTTCAAAATGAACCCTTAAAATTTAAAAACTATTCATGAGTACCTTTTTCTGTTATCAAATAGATCCTAAAAGTTTAAATATTTATCATAAATACCCTAAAAAGTTTTATTAGCTTTTTGTTATCTATCATTCTATTCATCTATTGTATTGAAGGCACAGTCCTTCAATACAACATTAGGACAACAATCTCAAATGTTATTTCGACATTTTAAAGTAACATGTGAATGAGTTGTGGAACGAGGATTTCGAGCACTATAATTGAG